CTCACATTTTACTTTTTGTCTTTATAAAAAATCAATATAAGACGCTAACGTGACTTAATCGTAACGATTTAAGTAGAAGAAGAGGGAATGGAAGAGAGATTAGGTGATGAGAGAATCCTCTCCCTTTCCCACATGTGGTGTCATATGACAATTGAGTATGGTACTAGGGAAATTTGCACATACAATCTATGGCGGACACATTATCTCATGTTTGAGTGACTGAAAACTCTAATTGATCTCACAATATCATGTACCAATAGTGATACATGTGTACTTTCTATCTACAATAATGTTGTCCATGCAGTATAAATAATTTGAACATGCCACGTTTGTTTAGCAGCATCTAATGAAACTCAAGGTTTGGAGTTTGGAGTGGTTAGAACAAAATTTGGCGTGATTGGTGACGATCCAATAGTTAAAGAGTTGGTGCGTCCCATTATAAAAGTAAGCAGTTTATTTGTTAACTTTCCAAAAGAAGGTTTGGTATTATAAGATTTTTTTAAATGAATTTTAACGAAAAGTTATCAGTACTATTCATTTTAATGAAAAATCATATTTTTATACTACCAAGTCAATTATGGTATTATTCACTTTATCATTTATTTTGTCTTTATCGTTAAAACTCAAAGTTTTCAAACAATTTTCTTTAGTTTTTTATTTTAAATTAATATATACATACACACACACACACACACGTACACACTCAATGTACTTGTGACTTCATATACATATTAACAAATCCTACTACATCTAAGGACTTTTTTTTTTTTTTTTTTTGGAAAGTATGATATTCATTGACATAAGTACTAATATATGTAGCCTCGTTAAAATTTTATAAGATCACTAAAAGTGAACAACTATCTGTACCGGAATTTTGTAATTCTTCTAACCATCTAGGTACTTCGGTAATGTGTAAATTTCGATGTCCAAAACGATTGGCATGATCCTGAATACAGATAAAGCTAAGCAATAGATATTTTATATAAGGAGTTTTAAGTCAATATATGAACAACTTGTACAATAATGCAATGCAATTTTAAAAATTCGGCAACTAGCTATAGCTTAAGCTGCTATATCCAGTATTCTAAATTTCTAATTTCTAGTTGTCAACTCAAATTTGGTACGCATTATTTGACCAGTTTTAGTTTACCGTAGGGTTTGGGACGCATTTAGATTTTAGACTTCGTCTAATTGTCTGTATGCAATGATGCATGGATGCTATCTTTTTTCTCGATGGAAGAATACCCGTTTGTCATTCAAAACTCAAAAGCAGTGGAAGGAGAGTTCAACTCTTTGGCTCTGGTCAAAAGGACTCTCTCTTTTGTTGGCTATCAATGCAAAGTTGATATAAAAAACATACATGGTTGACCGCCACATTAAACCTCGGGTCATTAAAATAAATACGTGTATGTTTTTGTGTTATGTGTTTTATTTATATTGAACGTCACAAGATGGTGTATCCGTATCATGTAAGTTATTCTCTTTAATTTGTTATTCACATAAAAAAATGGTAAACTTAGATTTGACTGGCGGGTCAATGAACCATATTCTAAAATTTTAAATGGTTCAAATTTATTTGTTAAATTTTGTAAAATTATTTTCGCCCATATATTGTTATCATTTGTGAGAGTTTGAACTCGAGATGGAGGTTCCAAACCTTTGCTCACCACATCAATTTCTTGGGGTTTCGACAAGGATAGATTGAGATCCCTTAGTACATATCTGGCATTTTTCATGACCGTCCATATAGTTTGGGCCTTGGAGCCCATTGTGATCTCAATTCCACTTACAAACTTGGGTTTCCAAATTTCACAAGTTTGGGCCCAAATGTCAACTTAGGGGTTTGGAGAGTTTGGAGCCCTATAAAAACCAAAAACAAATTCTAGGGTTTTTGGAAGACCATTTTGCGCGGCCGCTAGTATCCGACAACACTCACCGGAGCCATGGGAAGAGTCATTAGAGCTCAGCGTAAGGGTGCCGGATCCGTCTTCAAGTCGCACACCCACCACCGCAAGGGTCCCGCCCGATTCCGGAGCCTCGACTTCGGCGAGCGCAACGGTTACCTCAAGGGCGTTGTCACCGAGATCATCCACGACCCGGGTCGCGGTGCCCCGTTGGCCCGCGTCAGCTTCCGCCATCCGTTCAGGTACAAGAAGCAGAACGAGCTCTTCGTCGCCGCCGAGGGCATATACACTGGACAGTTCATATACTGCGGGAAGAAGGCCAATTTGGTTGTTGGAAACGTGTTGCCTCTCAGATCGATTCCCGAGGGAGCCGTCGTCTGCAACGTCGAGCACCATGTCGGCGACCGTGGAACCCTAGCTAGGGCTTCTGGTGATTACGCCGTTGTTATCAGCCACAACCCTGATAACGATACTTCCAGGTCTATAACTCTATATACATTTCTCTCTGTTCATTTAACTGTCATTTCAATCTTGTTAAAACCATTGGATTATTATATTCGATTACAGAGATTAGTGTATTTGTTCATTGGATTTCAATAATTGGAGCTCAAAATTTCATTGTTATTGAGATCCCCATTTCTCTTATGATTGCAATTTGCACGTAGCTATGTGATGTCTCATTTGATCACAAAAATTGTATCCCTTTAGATGATAGTTTGTTCATTTACTGAATCAGGTTGGGTTTTGTTTTAGGTTTTATTATGCAATATGCGGTTGGGTCGGATATCGAATCAAATTTTAATTTAGAAGAGAGGAATGATTTTTCTGAAAGAAAAGAGACTGTTGTTGGGTTTTAATTATTATGTTCACGGTACTCCTAATCGAATGTGATTATCTCATTTTATTTTTGCTTTCGTTTAGAACAATAGGGCAGTTGATTTTCTAACAAGAGACGTTTATTTGGTTGTATTGGTCGGAAGATTGTGAAATTAAGGGTCAGATTTCAACATGTCTGCATCCATTATGATATAAGCGAATGTGATTTCTACTGTCCATTTTTCGTCGAGTGTTGCACTTTTGTGATTGTAAAGGCTTATATGTTGGCAAACTGTATTGTTTTGCGGAGGCGTGTTAACAGTTGTGTGTTTCCACTGGTTCTAACAGGATCAAATTGCCCTCTGGTGCCAAGAAGATTGTTCCCAGCGGGTGCCGTGCTATGATTGGGCAGGTAGCAGGGGGAGGAAGAACTGAAAAGCCAATGCTCAAGGCTGGTAATGCTTACCACAAGTTCAGAGTGAAGAGGAACTGCTGGCCTAAGGTTCGCGGTGTGGCTATGAACCCAGTTGAGCATCCTCACGGAGGAGGTAATCACCAGCATATTGGGCATGCTAGCACAGTCAGGCGCGATGCTCCTCCTGGGCAGAAGGTTGGTCTCATTGCTGCTAGGAGAACTGGTCGTCTCAGAGGACAAGCTGCTGCAAACATCTCTAAGGCAGACAAGTGATGAGATTACATTTACGATTTTATCTACATTCGACATGTTTGGACCGTGTTATATTTTATTCAACACTAGTTTGGTGCATTTTGTGGAGCAAATTTTGTTTGGATGGATCCTTTAATGTCTGTTGCTTAATATATTATCCGTTCAACGGTCTCAAGATCTGCAAGTTTTGGTAATGTTGTGGTTTTGGTGCATATTGAAGCTCTAAAACCCTTATCATATTGTATTCAATAAATGTTGGCTAAACACTGAAGCATTTTATCATACAGTACAACCTAATGTTCGATAAAATATTAACCTTGATTAAATAATAAAATATTCTTTCGGCCTCAACTCGGGCTGGTTTCTACGCTCTAAATATGTAAGATAATTTGGGAAATTTTTCCCATTGTCAATTGTATTGTAGATGTTGGGAAATCTTTCCAAATTTGTAAATGGTCTTGGGTGCCAAGATCAGCGAATGAAGCGATAAATTTCGTCGCAACCTATGTGGGTACGGAGATGAGCGAGGAATGTAGGATTGACAGACCAACATCTTCGTTGGTTAGAATCTTAAACAATGATGGATTGCCATGTCCTTCTTAAGTGGTTTATTGGAGTGGGGAATGACGCTTGGTTTGTAGTATTGGCGTCTACTTGTATTTGCTACTCCTTTTTGTTTTGTTAATCCTGTTAGTCTCGTCTGGCTTTCTTGATGTATTTCGGCTGTTGCTGTGTTTTGGAATGCATTTCCAGTTTATACCAAAATATATATATATATATATATATATAAGAATAAAATAATAATTGATGAAATGCGGAAAGAAATAACTTATAAGTTAATAATAATATTTTGACAAAAAAAAAAAAATAATAATATCATGTATGCAATGTTGTCATATTATGGTTTAATGATATTCTTCTTTACTTATAAGTAAGGGATCTTAGATTCGATTCTTAAATAATAACACAGAGCTGATCACCTTCAAAGGAAGAAAACAAACGCAATTGTTTTAAGCTTTTTGTATTATGAATATAATTACATTACATATTTAGAAGATCTTTCATTCAAGCAAACTTCTTACGAACAAGCCGCTCAAGAGCTTTACGAGTTGAATATGGCCATGCTGAATCTTGAATTGTTGGGTCGAGCTTGGTTGCAAATATGAGCCAGACTCGATATGAACTCCAACAGTATCTAGTCGATTGGAGTTTTTATTTGATTTTGCTTATGTAGAATGATCCATGACCCTCTAATATCTCTTGAGCATTGGATTAAGAAATTGAAAATAGTTCCATATCTTCTGAGTTTCTTTCCCAACTCGATGAAAAAATTCGAGTCCCTTATTATGAACTCGTTGAGAATGATTTTGATATAATCCTGACTTAATGAAAGTACAAAGCATTTTAACGGGTTCCATCCGGTCGCAAAAATAAATTACTGTTATTTTGATGATGATCGAGTGACGTTGCTTTTTCCTCGAATGCAAAATGAATCCTACTCTATTTTCATTGTTGGGCTTGGACCAAAAAGGAAAATTTAACACTTGGGCTTCACTGAAGTACTCGTGCTATAAAAGCAAACAAATTCTAGGGTTTCTGCATATCGCAGCCGCTACTCAGTAGGAGCAATGGGGAGAGTCATCAGAGCTCAGCGTAAGGGTGCCGGCTCCGTCTTCAAGTCCCACACCCACCACCGCAAGGGTCCGGCTCGCTTCCGGAGCCTCGACTTCGGCGAGCGCAACGGCTACCTCAAGGGCGTCGTCACCGAGATCATCCACGACCCCGGTCGCGGTGCCCCGTTGGCCCGCGTCAGCTTCCGCCACCCCTTCCGTTACAAGAAGCAGAACGAGCTCTTCGTCGCCGCCGAGGGCATCTACACCGGCCAGTTCATTTACTGCGGGAAGAAGGCCAACTTGGTGGTCGGAAATGTGTTGCCTCTCAGATCGATCCCGGAGGGAGCTGTCGTCTGCAACGTCGAGCACCATGTCGGCGACCGTGGAACCCTAGCTAGGGCTTCTGGTGATTACGCCGTTGTTATCAGCCACAACCCTGATAACGATACTTCCAGGTCCATTTCTCGCTTTGTTAATTTCATTTTTCGATTTATTCATATGTGAATAATTGGATTTGCATCTACGGGTATAGGTATCTAATTTGATTCAATGAGAACTGTTATCCCTTAATACTTTGCATCTACGGGTTACATTTAAGCTGTTATTGCGCGGTAGATGGTAGGCTTTTAGGGTCATTCGTTGAACATGTTTTTCATTAAGAACTGTAGAAAAATGACTGTTTTTTCTGAAACAAGGAGCCATTATTTGACCCTATTATTTATAAGGTTTTTTAACAAAACACTTACGGTTCACTTTTAACGAAAAATCATATTTTTACTATTCACTACACCTTTATTTGTCCTTTTTCGTTAAAACTAAGGTTTTTTTGGATTTTTGGTTAATTTTTCTTTATTTTTTATATGATTGTCAAATTACCGAAGTCAGGGTTTTAAGGTTGTTTTTCACACTATTAACTTATTGAGTATGATATCCTTATTCTGTGTTTGGCTTTCATTCAGAACTAGTTGGGAATTGATTAGTTTTAAGCATGCGTTATCCGTACTTGGTCTCGTTGTTCAGAAGATTGCGAATTGAGAAATGTTTTCTGTCCATAACGCAAGCTGGTTAAATATTATTTCAACAATTTCTATTGTTTTGATCGTCCGCTCTTATTGAAATATTTTGCCTTTCTAATTGTAAAAGCGTATATATTGAAATTCTGTATGGTGTTTGGGACACGGGTTAACAGTTGTGTGTTTCCATTGGTTCTATACCAGGATCAAACTTCCGTCTGGAGCCAAGAAGATTGTTCCAAGTGGGTGCCGTGCTATGATTGGGCAGGTTGCAGGAGGAGGAAGAACAGAAAAGCCAATGCTCAAGGCTGGTAATGCTTACCACAAGTTCAGAGTGAAGAGGAACTGCTGGCCCAAGGTTCGTGGTGTAGCTATGAACCCAGTCGAGCATCCTCACGGAGGAGGTAACCACCAGCATATTGGACATGCTAGCACTGTCAGGCGTGACGCTCCTCCTGGGCAGAAGGTTGGTCTCATTGCCGCTAGGAGGACGGGTCGTCTCAGAGGACAGGCTGCTGCAAACATCTCCAAGGCAGACAAGTGAAGAGGCTTTTAAGGGATTACGTTTTATTTGTTACCTAAGTTTGCTGTTTCGGGACCGTTTTAATTTATCTCCAGTACTAGATTGTTGCATTTTTGTTCGGTTTGAACCGTTATATGCTGAGAGGAGGTTTTAACAGTCAAAACCTTTACCTGTTGTCATATGGTTCTTGTTTTGTGCATGTTGGAGTTCCAGTAAACCTTTCATTTCTAAGCTTTATTGAATGTTCAATTTACTGAGAGCTGCTTTTAGTTGTACACACGGTTTCACGTTTAGAACCCGCAGCTCCGGTTATACGGTTTCTATCAAGTTCTCTGCAAGCTGCCTTAAGGTTTTGAAATACAGGGTTCAACCTAACAGTTCTGTTAACAAGAATACTACCCTCGTGAACCAACCGTACGAAAGTGTCTTCCTGAAACCTTTCTGCATTTTCCTTGCACAGCTTCAACCACGCTGTCTTTGAGAATGCCTGAAGTTTGCCGAGATTTTGAGCGGAGGTGGAATCCGGAGGAGCTTTGTGCAAAACCTTTCCTTTACGTCCAGTAGCTCAACCTGTCATGAATGCAAATCAATTTTTATATAAACATTCACTCCGTACACATTGGACATTTTCGGACGAGTGACAACTATATTCCGAGAGGTGGAACAGAAGAATAAAAAGAAAGAAATGATACCTTTCCGGCTTTGCAAGCGTCCCATATCATCCGAAGATAATGTTTAGCATTGAAGTGAAACCCGTGGTGTAACATCCTTTTGGAAACATACTCGAAATCATCCCACCTCTTTTCTGCGACGCAGGTGTCTAACAAAGTGTTGAAAGTGTAGCTATCTGGTATTATCCGAATCTTATAATCGGATCTGCTGCTGGTATTATTCCCATCATCTAACATCTTCAGGAACAGATCTTAAGCTTTTTCAAACATTCCGTGGTCCAAGTAAGCTTTCAGCATTATGTTGCAAGTAACGAGATTTGGGGAGCAAAAGTTCTCCATTTGTTTGAAAACATATGCCGCATTTTCAACGCTTCCAGCTTCCAAACAAGCTTGAATTAAACCAGTGTAAGTCACTACTAGAGGCTTATTTGCAACCTTACATATCTTCTCAATCTGCGAAGAGAAGGAATCATGGAACAAGCGATCCAACTGTAATGCATGCTGAATTGCCAAACCAAAAAAACATACGAAAATAGAAAATGGGAATAAATTTCACCGATGTAATGAAAAAGACAGCTCAAATTACCTGCATTAGAGCTTCTTGGCACCTTCCAGCACTACAAAGGCATCGAGCAAAGTCATAATAGAGAGCCGCATAACCTACTATCCCTCGTCTTTCCATGTTGTGAACAACTGATACAGCCTCATCTATTTTACCTTCTCTCCAAAGAGTGTTCACAATAACTGTGTAAATAAGGAATCGTCAATATTATCCATCTACAATGGAATATGAGGTGAGACGGTAGTCCAGCAGAAATTGTAACATACCTCCGTAAGTTAAAGCATTTGGTATAGAAATTTTCTGCACTTTCTTGAAAAACTCGTGAACCAAGTTGTACTTGCCACATGCTAACATCACCTGATTTATTAAAAACGATTTCAGGTAATGCATAATTCGAAAGAGATATTCAGGGTAATTTAGCATCCCAGTACCAGGCTCATAAATCTCATAAAATCAAACAGATATGCTTCATGAAAATCGTTATCCAGCTTGTGTCAGTTAAATGATTTATGGAGAAGCCTAGACTGGCCCAAAAAGTTGTACATAAAAAACTCCACAGCGAGAACGGGTAGAAAACTATATAAAAATGATTGAGGGGGCTATTAATTAAATTTACTTAATTCACAAAGTTGTACCCTGTTTCATTGACAGCTGAAAATCAAACAGGATATCTACATAAATACCTAAAAAGCAGCACACACATGACAAACTAAATTCCTTAACACTGACTTAATGACAAAGGACAATGCATGGGAACTAAATAGTAGAGGCTTAGGAGATATTCAATGGACTGGAAGAAAGAAACTTAGGGCAACTTATACCTCCAGGCTCCATGACAAGTCCATAAGTTGTAGCGGCAGGCTGTAGGCCTTGTTGCTTTAACTGCTGCAAAACCCAAAATGCTCCTTCCCATTGTTTGCGCTGAACACAAGCATTCAATACCGGCACATGCAATACATTACACCTATGTATATAGAACTCACACTCATGTTTACATCAATTATCACCAAGTTCTACTTATGGAAGACAACAAGTCTGATTCCAGTTGAGGATCCCACTTCCCAAGTGCTCCTGTTTTGAACTTCTTTGGAGGAGATCTCATAGTATCAATCACATCAAAAAGTTCCCTCATATGTCCCGCTTGTCCAAGAGTTACAGCAATAGAATGATAAGCTACCAAGTCAGGATACGAGGACATTTGTTCCTGGAGAGTAAGGAAAAAGAAAAGATAACATTGGTTGGTCAAAGTACTCTTCTTCCTTTTAACTACAAGTGTGTTTTATGAGCATGAAGCATACTGTAGAAAATAACAATTTATGTGAAACACATTGCATGAAATATATTAAGTGCCTCCACAGGTCTCCTTGCCTTTCCAAGTACATCAAGTGCAGTTGTGTATATGTAACTGAATTTCAAAAGGGGAAATGCTTCAAATTTCTCTCAGATACAATATAGTTGTTCAACAAGATAATTGATGGTCATGTGAAATCGAATAGAGTAGTAACAACTAGCAGGAGCCACTTGATTTCTAATTTTATACTACAAGATAAACAATCGCAAGCAGCGTAGTCTAATAAGGTAAATAAGATTACTCTTCAAAAACTCTTAGTTTGTACCATCCACTAATTGTGACAATTTCTTAAAAGAAACTGTGTTGTAGCACTACGATTCAAGCCCATCTAAATGCTGGAATGATGAAAGGGAGTCTAAAGCTTCATGATATTCATCATTTGCCATAGTTTACTAAGAAGGAGTGTATGCCAATCTTTATACTTAATGCTCTACTATTTTCTCAGGGAAAGTACCTGAGCTTGTGGGATTTGAAGCCTTCACGCATTTGAAGCCACTCAATGACTTGTAATACCCGTCTCCAGTTTCCTAGTTTTCCAATAATTGGATAACTCTTAATATTGAATGATCTGTGAATCTGATTTGTGCACTTCGCATTATCTTTGAAAACATCCACTCAGGCATGTCAACGTCTGCACCATTCAGCCTGTTAAAATAGTTACTCAACATTAATGAGATCACAAGAATTCATAACTGCAATACATTAACACTTGATATGAGATATTAAGTTTGGTAAATCACACAAGGGAAATAGAGAAAAATCCAGAAAAAAGGAGCAAATTTGCCTATCCTCAACAACAAAATCTTTTTAGCACACTGACTGTCCCCCTCCCAAGTTGTTATAACAGGAAAGAAACACTTTATAAACTCACAATGATCGTTCAGCAACCCAGTTTACAAATGGAATTAAGTATAGAGTCAAGTGTAAAAAACTACAACTACACGACTATCACGTTGCATAAACTCCACCTAGGAAACAGTATATTAAATATTTTTTTCTGAGTGGATTGACAAACCAAAAATTATGCAAAACATAATACAGATGGCTATAGAAGGCCAAACTTAGCTTGACTTCCATGATGCTCTATACAAAGAAAACGGTATTATAGCCAGCATGACATACTGAACAACTCACTCATATGCCATACCGCCAATACATTTAAACCATTTGATCCACTGAAGTACAAGGAATTGTAAACGCCTAAAATCCATAATGTCAGTCTTTTTTTCTAAAAAGAAAAAAAGTAACACTAAACTTGTCATCAATAATTGTAAGGCCAATTTCATCAATCAAAAAAGTAATTCTTCGAATATAAGAAGAGGAAAAAGGCATAGAGAGCATACCGCTTTGCTAGCTTCTGGATTCTCTGCTCCATTTCCATTTGTGAAACTCGTGGCTTGTCCATAATATCACCGAACTCATCAAAACTCTGAAATGCTGCTCTTTCAACCTCCAAACTATTGTCATTAAATCTGTTAGGGAAATCCCTACCACTCTTAGTTACACTTCTAGGAACAAAACCTCTATCAGTGGCTTTCTCCGCATTGATGTGGTTCCTCACAACTCCATCTTCATTTCTAACACCAAATTTCCTTCTTTCAACGGCATTATCCATTCCATTGACTTGTAAACTCTCGGGCCATCTTTTGCATTTCGTGTCATTGTACTTTTACCTTTGAAGTCTACTTCTTCTTCTAGCATACTGTAACTCTCGGACCATCTTTTACATTTTTTGCCACTGTACTTTTACTTTTGACGTCCAATTGCGGTTCTACCCTACTAGTATGTTTTGATCATCTTCCATCTCTTGTCTCTCCCCTCATCATCTTCTTTTCCTTCTCATCCTTGTTGCTCTGTCTATTATCATATTCATCCTCAAACCCTCGTTGCCCTTCACTCTTTTCTGCAATTCTGTTTCTATTTCCAAGCGACTCATACCGATTCTCAACTTTTGACGCCTTGGCTCCCCCAATTTTGCATCCTTTCCACTACCCTCAGACAATAGTCTCCTGGAAACACCTCTATTCCTCGAATTATGCTTCGAATTCTCTTCTTTCGATTCTGCTGCTTATCTCTATCACTTCTAAGCCTAACAGTCCCCATAACCTTCAAGTACTGATCAAATGACGGCTTAAATTCAATTCTTTCTACAAAATTTCAGACCCTTCCTTCGACACAGCACTAATAAAAGTTCTAGAATTTACAAAATTAATACCAAAAACCCGATTCTTCCTCGCATTCTTCTCATATAATCCAACACCGAAAACAGGTCTTCGAAAAATCGAAAACCCAGATGAAGGAAACGGCTTTGGGAACAAATCGTGACAAAAATCCCATTACTCTGAAAATTGGAGACACCCAGTCGAGCATTTTCCATAACCAACTCCACCATTTTTCAATTCATCCAACAAATTTCACATATCATTGTTTAAAGTTCGAAACTTTCCTACTCACATGCTGAGCTACAGAGTGAAAAAATTACAGAATACATAGAGAAGAGAGAAGAATGGAATTACAGAGGAGACAAACTACGAACTTGAAATTGAAGAAGCAGTAAGAGCGACGAGGAGTCGCTACAACGACAGCAGTCGGAGAAGAATCTGAATGTCGTTGGAGATACCCATTGAAAACCCGGGAATATCAACGAATATTGGTCGAAAACGAACAGAATATTGGGCCGGGTATAGGCCCAATAAGTGGTCCAGAGCCTGATTTATATTTGAATCAAGGAAATTACAATAAAGCCCTAAATGCGGGGCCTCTGAGGCACAGAATACGACCGTTGGCCACGTAGCTCTTGAACCCCGGAGAGGCATTCAAATTTCAAAAATCGAAAAGTCGGGACAAAAAAAGAAAGCAAGCTGCCACTTTTCTCTTTCGCATTAGCTCTCAGCTGGTCTTGGAGTTAGAGCTTTCAATTTTCAAGCTTTTATATCTTCCTTTTGGAACAAAAGATTTGAACTTTATCACCCCAGTTCATCACTTCCACTAGATTTTTGGAGCGTCCCATGCTCCAATTGAGTGCCAATTTTCAGACATTTTTCTGTAAAAGTTTTGGTTTTTCACAATGAGAGAAGAGAACCCATCAGAAACCAGAGCAAGATCGATCAAATTTTCCGACCAAAACCAGGTTCCGAAGTGTTCGAATGCGAAGGGCAGCAGCAATTCTTCAAGATTGAGGTCTGCTTCCTCATGGGGTTCTCACATTGTCAAAGGGCTTGCAGGGGACAAGAAGACCAAGGCACAGCCTGCAGTCACCGGCAAGAAACCGCCGCTAACAGGGTCCGATTTGGCGAACCAGAAGATCCCTCTTGCACCAGCTCAGTCGCGCGTCAAGCGCTCGCTGATTGGCGATTTGGCGTGCTCTGTGAATGCCAATCAGGTTCATCCTCAGATGTATCCGACTCACCGGAGGCAGTCGTCCCGGGACCTGTTTATTGAGCTTGATCATTTGAGGAACTTACTTCAGGATTCTAAGGAGAGGGAGTTTCAGTTGCAGGCTGAGTTATCGGAGTGTAAGCGAAACCCGAGGGTTTTGGAGCTTGAGAGGCAGCTTGAGGTGAAAAGGAGCGAGCTTGATGATTTGGCTCGAAAAGTTGAGTTGCTAGAAGAAGAGAAAACTAGTCTCTCAGAGCAACTGACATCGATTTCAGAGAGGAGTGAGGAAGTGGTATTGAAAAGAGAAGACCACGAAACCTCAGTCACAGCAGCATCAGGGAGTGTGGAAATGGAGGTTTTAGAGTTGAGGCGTCTGAACAAGGAGCTGCAGCTTCAGAAGAGAAATCTTGCTTGCAAACTTTCTTCTGTGACATCCCAGTTGGCTTCTCTGGCAAAGGCTTCTGAGGTAGTATCAACTTCTATGGAAGCACTTCTACTAGAAGTACTTTTATTATAAGCACGTATAAACTTCTATCAAAAAAGTACAAAGCGCTTGGAGTTTCTCGTTTTATCTTTAGCAACCAAACACATTAATTGATTTTGTTTTCATTAATTTTACTGGTTTAGCTTTGTTTGCTTACTGCAATTTTGTTGTATTGGTTATCATCAGAGTGACATCGTTGAGAAGATCAAGGCTGAGGCATATGTGCTAAGGCATACGAACGAAGATTTGTGCAAACAAGTTGAAGGTTTACAAATGAGTAGGTTGAATGAGGTTGAGGAGCTAGCCTACCTGAGGTGGGTGAATTCATGTTTACGAAATGAGTTGCAGAACTCATCCTCTACCACAAATTGTGATAAGACATTAAGCCCCGCTTCGATTGAGAGGAGTAGTAAATCTGATGGAGCACTGTCATCTAGAAGCAGCAAGTACTTAGAATACAATGGTGGAAAGAGATTGAATCTTATAAAGAAACTAAAGAACTGGCCTATTGCTGACAACGATTTGCCTAACTTAGAAAGCTCAGACGAGGAAGCAAGAAGTCCGAAAAGAAGACACTCAATAAGTGGATCAAGATTCTGTGCAGAAGACTTGGTGCAGACGAATAAGAGAAGGCAGTCTGATGGTTTTATGTGTATCCAAGAAATTGAGAAAGATACAGAACCAGTAGTTTCTCAAGAATATGATTTGGATATGCTTCATGGATCACAGTTCTTCGGAAATTGTCACGAAATTAACAAACTTCCATCTTGCTTAGATGTTGAGAAAAGGGCCTTGAGAATTCCTAATCCCCCTCCAAGGCCTTCATGTTCCATATCTAGTGGAACCAAAGTGGATGGTGCTGCCCAAGTTGCACCACCACCACCTCCACCACCCCCACCACCTCCTCCCAAGTTTGCAGCGAAGCCTAGCACCACAGGAGTGGTACAAAGAGCCCCACAAGTCGTCGAGTTTTATCATTCACTGATGAAGAGAGATTCTAGGAAGGATTCTTCAAATGGTGGAGTTAGTGATGGCCCAGATGTTGCAAATGTTCGCAGTAGCATGATCGGAGAAATTGAGAACCGATCATCACACTTGCTTGCTGTAAGTGCTCACTTGCCCAGTTATTTATAATATTTGTCTGCTCGAACTTCGTTTCTTTTGAAGTACTAAAACAAATCCTTATTGCTTGTAATAACCATTTCCTTTGCAGATAAAGGCAGATGTTGAGACTCAAGGGGAATTCGTGAATTCGTTGATAAGAGAAGTGAACAATGCAGTTTATCAAAACATTGAAGATGTTGTGGCCTTTGTGAAGTGGCTCGATGACGAACTTTGCTTTCTTGTAAGTTTGATCTCTCTCATGCCCAGAGTAACGATTTTACCATAACTGAGTGTGGAAAATAACTTCACTCACACATCTCTTTGATAAATTACTTTGATGTGTGAGATGCTAATTCCTTCCTTTGAAAAGGTTGATGAGAGGGCAGTCCTAAAGCACTTTGATTGGCCGGAAAAGAAAGCCGACACACTGCGAGAAGCAGCATTTGGCTATAGAGATCTCAAGAAACTGGAGTCTGAAGTGTCTTCTTACAAGGATGATATCAGACTGCCTTGTGATATTGCACTAAAGAAAATGGTTTCCTTGTCTGAGAAGTAAGAACCTTCACGGCTCTTTTCATAAGACAATCCATCTTTTTCCTACTAATTAAACTTACCAAGTGTTTCCTTACCTCTCACAGAATGGAGCGTACCGTTTATAACCTTTTGCGGACAAGAGAATCGTTGATGCGTAATTGCAAGGACTTCAAAATCCCCACAGATTGGATGCTTGACAATGGAATTTTAAGCAAGGTAGACTTTGATATTCTCTATGAACGAATAGCAGACGCCTTTGTGCATCACATATCTGATTCGATGCTGGTCTTGCAGATTAAGTTTGGCTCAGTCAAGTTGGCAAAGATGTACATGACAAGGGTGGCTATGGAACTTCAGTCGAAGGCAGCAGCGGAGAAAGATCCTGCAATGGATTACATGCTGCTTCAGGGAGTGAGATTTGCATTCAGAATTCATCAGGTTAGCAGTGCAAGAACGAAAAAAGATACCCGGGATTTTATTGTTGTATGAAGTTTAGATGATTGAGATATGTTTATGCTTGATATGCAGTTTGCAGGGGGGTTTGATGCAGACACAATGCACGCGTTCGAGGAACTTCGCTACCTTGCTCATCTTCTCAACAAAAAGTAAAGAGACAAAGGTGGTGAAGGCTTTATGGAACATTTTGGCTTACCATCTCAGTACGCTTCATACGGAAAAATGTATACGTTCCGTAGTAAGCATTCTGGACATGACAGCATAATTCGGCTGTAGTTTGTGTGACGAAAAATATGTATACCTTATAAACTGCGACGACTTCTTGTTAAGTTGTACGATAAGAATCATACAAGTTATTCAGAGTTTCATACTCATCTAAAAAAAATCACATATTTTTCCAAGTACTTGCCTTACTGTTATTTCGAGATTGTGGTGACGATGAGCAAACCACATTTGAGATTGTGGGGAAGTTGGCTCGAGTGTGATAGCGGTGAATGTGACAAACAGCCAAGTAGTTGTTGAGATTGCAGCGGCCTCCGGTGATGGAGATGTGAAATCTGCTGGATATCATCGGTGTGGTGACAGTGACTTGGGGTGAAGGTGTAGGTAGCAACTTAAGACATTTGAGGAGTAGCAGTAGCAATGACCCGAGCAGTAGAAATAGGGATGCCAAAGAAGGGAGCAGCAGTAGTCCTGGCACTAAGCGCAGTAAACATAGATAATCACAAGGTCTCATATCCATTGGAATGAAAGTTAAAACAAACAGATCAAATCAATTGCAATTGCAGCTTTCAAATCGCGCATACATTTAATCAAAGGACATCAAAACCATTACGAATCCAGTAAAAAGTAAACTAATTTGATTCGCCAATACTCAGAGCTCATTTTCATTATAACACTCGTAATTGACAACTGGTTTTGCAGTATACTGCGACAAATTTGTACATTCTTATACAAAAACAGTTCCTGCAACTGTTACATGTCTCAAGTAAATCAACATTTGAAGGCGTAGCCGTCATCCTATGTATCCAAGTCCCTAATCGTCACGTCTGATATTCTCCATATTGTGGGTAGTTGTCAAATTTGAACAAAAACGAACTGTACACTGCAGAAGTGAACAAGTCAAAGTTAATCATCTGCGATACCATTCAAAATTCCATACTGTCTTCTCACAGCACAAAATGACTTCAAAAGCATAACAAGAAAGATGTTCTGGATCTTGTATAGGTTCCCACATTGGTAGGCTTTGCAGTGCCACCAAAAGAATCACTGTTTGACCGCAATACATTGCTAACATTTAAAGATACAACGGCAAGTCTTCAAAGATTTCTGGTAAATCCAAAGAAGGAGCAGATATCTATCACCCTATATAAGAATGACTACAAGTATAACAGCTTTGCCTATTACCTGCACAGTATTATTAATGAATCCAAAACATCACCACTCACTTTTCTCTATGTTTTGACAAATAAAAGCAATACCTAAAGGTTGGCTGGATGATCAATGCAAATTCGTTGAGGTACATCTTTCCTTAGTACCCAATTTGACACGTTTAACTTATATCCCCTTGTACATATTTTGGGCTTCATAGAAGTCTAATGATTCACAGGAATGCCTGATATGAGGGCTAACAAGCTCATAGACTGCCTATTATCAGGACAAATTAATCCCGACCATAACTGTTCAAGCACTAAGGATGAGGGCTATATGAACTCATAGACAGCCTAGTATCAGGGTTAATGCAGTCACGTTATACTATAAACACACAGAGTAAGCATAGAAGTCTAATGCCTCAAAGGACTGCCTGGTATGAGAACAAAATTACCCTGACCTTGACTGTTCAAGCACGAGTACGAACTCATAGAAGCCCTAGTATAAGGGTAATGCCTTCACTGAATCATCCCTCACCGATACAAAGCACAGGGCATACACATCCACGCCTACGCTAGATATATGCAGAAAGTTCTGATTGCAAACTGATAAGCCTTCAGTCAAGACTGAAGACACAACAACAGCATAATGTAGTTCAAATAAAGCCACCCACATCCTCTTGTTTCCGTCAGTCACGACTAAAAGTACCCTGCTTCCCAACTCCTACACACATTCATCTAAAATTATACTATCATCGACCAAATCAGAATGAAAGGCCGAAACACTTATCCGACTAAACTAACACAGAGAATCCAGTGGCACGGAAAACCTATCGAATTATATCGAAAAGAATGCGGACATGAGATTCTTCACAGCTTAAGGGTTCTCCAGCAACAATTACCAGACTGAAAAATCAAATTTTGGATCAGTAGAGTAGTCATGAGAGCAGTGAATTGAGAATCACCATTGCAGTGGTTCCTGGGCTAGAAATCTCAGCTCCGCCGCAAAGCTATCAAAGCGAGCCGCCGCAGACGTAGTAAAAGATTCGACAAGAAGCAAGAACTGCTACCGCCATGTACGCAGCACACCAAATTCCAGCCCCCAACAACAAATTCAGAGCATCGCAGTAGGCCATATAAATCACCAATCGCGACTGAAACAATAAAAAATCGCATAAAAATTACACAAATAATACATCAAAAAACAAAACTTTAACATAATCAGAGGCGGAATCGATCATAATTTCATACATCAAATTGCGTAGAATCGATTGGCGCTTCTAGTTGGGATTTTAGGGGACGATTGTACTGAGAAAAGCGGAAGATTTGATGCAACTGCTATGCGGAAAATCGGAATCAGCAGAAAAGGGGATAAGTGGATAGAGGTTTTAGGTTAATAGAAAAAGGGTTTTTACAAGTGGCAATTATGAAATCGGGTTCTATGGTTGACGAAGGAGTGGGCTTTGGAGGTTCCGCAATGTTTAAAACATGGCTTTCAAATGTGGGCCCGTTACTTGGAGCCTAGTTTCTGAAAGCGTGTATTACAATTGGACCGCTTCAATTTAATTTTTTTTTTCGAAGAGCAACTTATGTGGACAGATTTATTGTCACGTGACGTCTAGGTGAGTGAAGCATCATTGTCAAATTTTTGGGTTGAAAAATAGGGCTAAAACAAGAGTCCCAAACAAAGCTACTCAATAATAAATCTAGACTAGGACATCCAAGTCGATCCTTATGAATAAAACTAACTAAACAAGGAGGAGGAATATGACAACAAAAATTACCTAAATCTAAATCAAGACTATAGAATTGTCCGTCACAAAGTTCTTTTTTTTCTATAGATATGTCAAAGTTCACATTGCCAAAATCTTGAAAGCAATCGTTAATTTGTTATAAAATAACAAACATTGTGCTACAAATAGGAAAGAGATCCTCAAGTGATCCGGACCCTTGAAATTTGATCCAACGGTTAAAAACATGGACCCTTTTTAAAAATTATAATAACTTTAACCGTTGGATTAAATTCAAAGATCCGGATCACTTAATCTATAAATAAGCATTCTTGTTTAACAGGTGTTCCAAAACTGTGGAATAAATACAAAGAGAGTATTCCGAAACAAACACATTCACGAGCAACATTTTTCTCCTCATTTTTGTCGCGTCCAGGAAATAATATCAGGACCTTTCTTCAAACAGCATTACTTTGAATTTCAGTATTTTATAGAAATATAAAAGGAAAATGTCTTATTTAAATGGTTAAATTTTGTTTATTTAAATAAATAGTTAATCTCAGTTTACTATCTTAAAGTTTTTTGATTTTCAATATTTGGTACATGAAGTTTTTTTCATTCCAGAGTGGTACATAAAGTTATAATTTTGGGATACTTTCATAAATCTGTTAAGATTGTTAAATTTGTTGTTAACTGATGACGTGACATCTACGTAGACAATGACGTGACATCTACGTCTTGACCAACTTGTACTTGTGTTCTTTGATTCAGATTTTGAAGATGCATCTAACCAACCTCTTACACCGATCGAGGTTCGAAGCCTTGATGTTTCCGAGATCAATTCGATCGACATCGTTACAATATCTACAGATCTGATTTCTCCTTACGACTGAAGGGCGCAAACTCATGTATATTGGTTAATCGAAAGCTATAACTGTGATATGATGATTGGGAATGTGAAAGCTGGGGTATGTTTGGGTGGATTTGGGTTTGCACGGATGTAAAAGATGTCGTGATGAAAGGCTCAGTGGAAGAGCTGAGTCCTTAACCGATCTTTGTCATCCGGCCTTTGCCATGGCAGGTCAAAAAAATCTGAATAAAAACGGCAATGGTGGCGGAGATGGATTTGAAGGCGGCGGTGAATAAGCGGAGAAAGGGTTTTGGGTGAGGGGAGTGTAAGAGATTTTGGAGGAAGAGGATTTGGGTGAGAAGAGAGATGTTTTGGGTGCGGCAGCCGTAGTGATGGTGGAGAAAACAACGGATTTGGGGGCTCTGATGAGCCTTGAGATTGTGAAGAGGCTGCCATTTTGGTGGTTTGAGTTTCACACTGAGAAGGTGAGACTGTGTGAAGGAGATAAGAGAGAGAGTAGATTTGGTGGCGGCTGAGGCTGCAAATCGGGGCTCGGGTGAAGTCGAAGAGGGAGGGGGAAGGGTGGAGAGATTTTTCGGTGTACCCGGCACACCAAAAAAATTTGGTGTACCCTCACTCATAATGGTGAGGGTGCACCAAAAAAATTTGGTGCACCCTCACTTTTTGTACACCAAAAAAATTCTAATGAGTGAGGGTACACCAAAAAAATTTGGTGTACCCGGTACACCTAAAAATTTTCGGGAAGGGTGGGTGCAGAGGAGTGAAGGGAAGGGGTGAGGGAGAAAACCAAATTTTTTTATTTTTTTATTTTTTAATATCTATGTGGCGTCCAGTCATTGTCCACGTAGATACACGTCATCAATTAATGACAAATTTAACAGTAACCTTAACAGATGTATGAAATTTTCTCAAAATTATAATTTTATGTACCACTCTGGGATGAAAAAAAATTTCATATACTAAATGTTGAAAATCAATAAACTTTAAGGTAGTAAACTGACATTAATTCTTAAATAAAATATTGTAACGACTTTTCCCATAATCAAGTACATTCTTGACAAATTTTATCACATGCCCAATTACATTTTTCTAATCACCTGCATAATTTTAAGCATGACACATGTGTCGGCACAAGGGATATTGAATTTGGTCATCGCATTAAATATTTTGATTGAGGCCATTTTCTTTGGATTTGGATCCTTTTCCTTAGCCAATAGAGAGGATCCTCCTGATCAATCATTGTGGACCGTTAGATTTTTATCCAACCGTTACAAACAGAGGGTACCTTTAAAGTTATAATAATTATAGTTGTTGGATGAAAATCCAATGGCCCACAATGATTGATCAGTAGGATCCTTTCCATTGGCTCAGGAGAGGATCCAAATCCATTTTCTTTTTAAGAGGTAGAACAAAATAGGGTCAATTACATAAAATTACCTCAATTATTGGGTCAGTCACAGTTTCATACCCCATCTTTAAAAATTTTTAATGCCATACCTCATCTACGAATTTTTTACAATTTCATACCTTCCGTCAGTTTTCTGTCAATTCTTCCGTTAAATAGTGACGTGGCTTGAGACGGGACCCATTCTCTATTAAAAAATTAAATAAATATTAAAAAAACTAAAAAAAATCATGTGTGTGTGTATATATATATATATATATATATTTTTTTTTTTTTCATGGGGAACCCACCCCTTATCCCCTCACCCTTTATTTCCCCTCCCATCTTCCCCAAACCCAAACCCATATCTCACCCACCCCGCTTCTTTCTTCTCTGCGCCGATCACTGCCCGAGTCCCTAATCCCGCAGTCCTCCTCTTTCACCATCTTTTCTTCACCGGACTCCGCCTTCACCAAATCGGGTTAACCGGCCCTCTCTCTACTCCAATACCATTTATGCCCTCTTCCCTTGCCCCTCCAAACCCTCAAATCCCTCCCCCCCTCCCCGCCACCAAGATCCCGAATTTACTTTCCAGCCACCCCATCGTCGTCAAATCCGACGCCATACCTTACTTGTCTAAAACCCTATTCGACTCCTTCCATTCCCTCCAAGACGACGCAAAGGATGCCACGGTTGTGATCACGTATGTGGTTGGGTGCAAGGGTCCATGGCGGTGATCGTGCAGGTGGCGGGGTGAGAGGGTGGGTGCGGATTTGCTGGATCTCTCGACTGACTCGAGCTTGAGAAGCAAGGAGAACGCGGTGGGTAAGTTGCTCAATTTGTCCAGGTGCGACAGATAGAGGGCGTTGAGGGAGGTGAGGCATGAGGGGCTGGGAGTGGTGGATGTGATTGTTGATGTGGCGGAGAATGGCAGCAAGGAAGAAGGGGTGGGTGGGATCTGGGTTTGGGTTTAGGGAAGACGGGAGGGGGTAGAAAGGGTGAGGGGATAAGGGGTGGGTCCCCCGCAAAAAAAAAAAAAAAAAAATGTTTTTTTAAAAGTTTTTTAATATTTTATTAAAATTTTTAATAGTGAGTGAGCCCCATCTCAAGCCACATCACCATTTAACGGAAGAACTGACATAAAACTGATGAAAGGTATAAAATTGTAGAAATTTTGTAGATGAGGTATGACATTGAAATTTTTAAAGATAATGTATGAAACTATGACTGACCCAATAATTGAGGTAATTTTATATAATTTACCCAACAAAATAACACAGTTGAAGCATAATGCTCGTTATGCATTGTAATGTATGTCTCATTTTTCTCACTTCTTTGAGACCAAATAATAATAGTACACAACTCAATGCTTTAGTTCTGACATAATTAATCGTAATTCGAAATTAAGAGTAGTGCATACCGTGATTCACCAAAAATACACATATACACATCACACAAAGGCCACATTTACTACTCATTTGACAAAAATTCTTAGGTGCTCCTACGCACCCAAGAAAGTCCCCTCATTCGGTGAAAACTTGGAATGGCTTGGGCAATACGTAGAGATCAAGTTGGGTGAAATATTTAATATATAAAATTATGATTTGATATGAATGTGACAAGAAGTTTTACACCATAGTTTGTGCAAAGAGTTAATGTTAGGAAGATTAAATATATAGATTGAATTTGCAAACTAAATGATGTGTCACCAATAGGAATAAGCACGTTTATCAACGTTTAAGTAATAATCCAATTATTAACTTACATATCATTTAATTTACACAATTTTGTCTACAAATTCAATCTCTCTAACACTACCCCTGTGCCAAGACACATATATGGAATTACCCGTGCAGGTAATTTGCTTTTGGTAGTTATATTCCACACTTATTTTTACTTTTTACGCACATTTGTTAAATTTTTGCCAATAATTTATTCGATTCATTCCAATGGCAGAAATTAAGAGATGTATGCGAAAAATAAAAATAGTTGTGTGAATAATATTATTTTTTGCTTTAACCAGATACGTTGGTTACAGGTGTCGATCAAAAAGCATAGCAGGATGAGAGACTGTTGTGGCATGTTCGAGCATTTAAAGGAGGCATTAGGATTCTATTAGGGATCAAGAGAATCAATCAATCGTGTCCGTTTATTGTAAATCGTATGGTAAGATATTATTTTGAATTTTTTATTTAAAGTTGAATACAAACAGTACCTAATAAAAACTGATCGTACGATATACGATGAACATACATAATTGATTGATTTCTAAATCTCCACAAAAGCCGGAGAGGATGCTCATCCTTAAAAGAGGAGCAACACATAACTAAAATAAGGGATTTGCAGATGAGATTTTGGTGACCCAAGTACACAAAACCAGCGCCAAATCTGGCAAAATTGTAAAGAAGAGGATTTTGTGGGATTTGGATCCTCTCCTGAGGTAATAGAGAGGATCCTTCTTACCCATTATCTTGGACTGTTGAATTTTTATCTAACGACTACAAATAGAAAATCTTTTAAAGTTATAATACTTATAACCGTTAAATTTTTATCCAATAATTCAAGATGATGGGTTAGGAGGATTCTCTTCATTAACTCAGGAGGAAAGGATACAAATTCGATTTTGTGTGTGTGTGTGTGCATGATTGATCCAATCGCAACCAGAAGAAGTGGACAGAAAAGAAAGAAAGGACTCTCATTAGATCTGACATGTTTGACATGATGTAACATTATTTTGCCCCCACCCCCACCTCTTACCCAACTCAGTGCGATACAATAAATAAGATCCAAACAAGCGAGTACAGATCCTCTTTGAATTTAAAAACACGAAATTTAAAGATTAAATGATTCAAACTGTTGAAAATTAATCTAACGGTTACAATTATTATAATTTTAGAAAGATTCTCTGTTTATAATCATTAGATTAAATTTCAACTGTTTAGATCATTTGATCCTTAGGCTTTTTTTTTTAGATTCGAAGAGGATCTGTACTCCAAACAAGCAAACCCAAAATGCCTCTGGTTGTAGAGTCAATGCTAACCCTAAACATAATCATGTTGGATTACTATTTACCCTCCATACTTTTGAGGGAGAGGATTCTTTTCCTTTTCTTTTACCTCATCTATTAACCTTTTTTAGTTCCTTTATCCATTTTTATGCCCCTCTAATTTTTAAAAAATTAGGTTTCATATGTTCTATATTTTATTGTTTTTATCTTACTTTGCAATTGCACAAAAAATTATATGACCTAAATGTTCTCCATTTAAATCATGCATATAAATAACTTGTATCACAAATAAGTCGAGCATCATACATATCTTATACAAATGATTGATGAGCGATGTAGCCATTTGTATACAATGTGAGGAGTAGTAACTTTTACCATTCAATAAGGAAATGAGATAAACATTTTTCACATATTGCAAAATTCATTTACATTATGCTGAAGTTAATTAGGTCAAATTAAATATCTCATAAGCCCTCCCGTTATTAGGAACACACCCCATTTCAAATAGGTGGAATCACATTAATGAATCTAATGGTGTATATATATGCTGAAGTTAGTTGATTCCTAACTTTTATTCATACATACAGACCCCATAATTCATCAAAGATCCGGAGGAATTGAACGGAGCAAAAATCTTGTTTGAGAAAAAACAATTAGCATATGAGGATCTTGCATGCTGCATGTTGCGAGTTGTATTCAAAGCGTAACACTCACAAATTGTTGTATATTTATAAAAGAAAAATACGTGACGAGAGATATATAAATAATTTACGATGAAATATGATTTGGATTCTGTTCGGATCCAAATTGTGGAGATTCTAGAGATGCTCACATCTTAGTCGTTTATCGCACATCGTGTGACCATAAATCATTTTGAATTTTTCTATTTAAAATTGAACATATATAGTACTTAACGAAAATTGATCGCACAATATACGATAAACAGTTATAATATGTGAATATCTATGATTCTTACAAAGAAAATCATAAGAGAAACCTCATCGGATGAAATAGATACATCCAAAATTTGCCCTAATTTTAAGGAGCACAAACTGTGCATAGTAAGAGTCCGTTCTGTCCTTAGCTAGCCCTAGCAGCCCTTAAACAGTAGGCACTGTTACTCTCTTTTCGAAAATAAATGTGCAGTGTGAGCATATATAGGCAGTTTAACATTGGAACTGAAAAAGCATGTGAGTTAATCAGTTGAGGTGAGAGGGAGCACCGATTGCCGCACCAGAATTAGGTTACAAAGGATCTTGCCGCACGACGAGTCACGTCCACTGCCTAATCAAATCACATTTTTATCTTCATTGTAATCCAATTTTCACTATTTCAAACAAGGAAGAGAGGGGGAGAGAGAGAGTGAGAGGTTAGAGAGAACGGACTCCGCAGTGTCGGTATCCAGAAATTGAATCTTTGTTTAAAATTATATCTCAAAATTTAAGAATGAATACACTCAAATTATCGGGTACTTCGGACCACACAAAATTTTTATTTAGAGAGAGAAAGGGCAAGTAATAAAGGTGATGTTTTGTATATAGAAAGCATGACGTGACGTTGCTGAAGTGACATCCAAACTGTCATCACTTAGAGAGATTACAGAGATTTATCATTATATATTAAGTATAATAATAAAGAAATCTAATAAAAATGATTTGAAAACTTTATTAGTTGTTTATCTTCGGCTAATATTAGAAGATTAAATTTGTATACAAAGTTATGTAAACTAAATGACATGTACGTTGATGATTTGATTATTACTAAATATTAATAGATGTATTCATTTTTATTAATAACATATCATTTAATTTGTAAATTTTGTTCACAAATTTAGTTTTTTTTGTTATTACCCTTTATCTTTGCATGAGACCCTACTTTTGAAGAGGTTTTTTAATGTGACCGTTACACGGGATGATACATCACGTATTACTAAACAAATGGTGGGATATGTGTGCTAAAAAGTTAACAATTTAAAAAATAAAATTTCTCTCAATTCCTATTAAAACACGTGATGTATCATTTATGTTCCCGTCATAACTAAAAATTTCTCTTACTTTTGTCACCTTCCCCATCTTGTCTCTTCCCACTCAAATTATGTCCCCCACCTCTTCTCATCCCCTCTCCTCTCCTTCGCTCCCTCCCCGGCCCCCTACCCTTTATATATTCCTACACGTCTTTCTACCTTCTCTTAAACATTTCACACAGCACTTTGTCCTCATACCATCGCACCAATTTATCGTTTTGAAAGCCATCTAACTTTGTGTGTCATGTCAGCAGCAGCCGCAGCCGCCGCCGCTGCGGCAGTGAGTAGGTCTAGCTCCACCAACAGTAACTCTATCACCTACAACTACAACCGCCAACCGTTATTCAAGCCGTCCCCGCTAACGGCCGTGGTGCCGGTGCTGAGCAGGTACGAGTCCCAGAAGCGGCGGGACTGGATCACGTTTGGGCAGTACCTCAAGAACCACCGCCCTCCGCTGAACCTGTCCCGTTGTAGCGGGGCCCACGTGCTGGAGTTCCTTAGGTATTTGGATCAGTTCGGGAAGACGAAGGTCCATGCGGACGCTTGCCCTTTCTACGGGCACCCTAACCCTCCTGCACCCTGTCCTTGCCCGTTGCGGCAGGCCTGGGGCAGCCTCGACGCAATCATTGGAAGGCTTCGGGCAGCGTTTGAGGAGAACGGCGGGCAGCCCGAGACCAACCCGTTTGGGACTCGAGCAGTGAGGCTGTACCTGAGGGAGGTCAGGGACAGCCAGGCCAAGGCCAGGGGAATTGCTTATGAGAAGAAGAAGAGAAAGAAAGTAGGGCCATCACAACAGCCGGAAGGGCAAGATGATGAGGAGCAGCAGCAGGGGCAACATGGTACTTTTGGTTCAGATTATGGGTATGGTGCTGCTGTTACTTCATCTGCTGCTGCTGCTAGGTGCTCTATGATGCCTTTGTCTGTGCTAATCTGATTAAGCTTGTAATTAATTAAGTAATGAATTATATTTATGTAGTTAGGTGCATCATGATATGAATATCCAATGGATTTTGATGTGTTGTGTTACTAAGTTGTTAACCTTTTCTTTCTTAATTAGAAGCAACCGAAATTGAAGAAGAAACTTTAATATCAGTTCTCCAATTATCATAGACTACAGTTTTATTTTCTCCTTAATTTGTAGTTTGCTGTTAATCAGCCAAAATTAATTTACTTATGAACAAAATAGCTAGAAACAAATTAAGAGATTATGATATGCGATGTACGTATGACATTATTAAGATAATGATAGATTCTTGACAATGCGTGTAGATTGCTTCACCTTTGTGTAATTTATTAAAGTAAAACTAATAAAAAAAGCTTGAAAATTTTGAGTATTAATAAAAGGTCACAAATGTCTTGTAAGTAAATAGTACCATAAGTGATTTTTTAGAGTAAAAATATTATTTTAGTTAAAAATGAATAGTACCGGGAGTGTTTCGTTAAAACTCTCATTTATTAATGATAAAAAGAATTATGCGTGCCTGCAACACCTCATATGTCATTGTATAAGTAGAAGGACACTTGATAATAAAAATTCTCTCTACTTGTATAATAACATATAGCATACCGGTCTCTTTTTTGAGCACATTGATGGTCATAACAAGCTGTCATGTTTTTCTCTGTATAGATGAGTCGTCGGTGGTTTCCTTCTCAGCTTAGTTGTTTGTGTATATTTGTGCCACATAGTGGTTGTGTAGCGTCACTTTTCTGATGGCTTTGTGTGTTCCTTGGTCACATATATGTCACCACTGATCTATTGTGGTAGATTTGTTCCACTAGTTCTTGTGCACTGTGTTGTTTGTGGTTGCGATGTAGGGTTGGTTTGTTGGCTTTAATTTCTAGATCAAAGATTTGGTCATTGGAGAAATTCACCTAATTTGACATTCTTGTTTATCTATCAAGAAATATTGCTATCGCTTTGGATAAAAAAGATAAGGTAAAATATTTGGATTAAGTTATAAAATGATAGTATAATTAAATTAGTATTAAATTTGTCATTTATAAGAAATGAACATAAAACTTCTTATCTACAAGAAGAGACAAACTATTTATAACTAAATATGCATCGAATGGTAGGCTTAAGTCAAAAGAAAATTCACACGCCTATTTGTTCTCTACACACACAATCATATCAATTTCACGTCCGTTTGATTCTTTCTTTGATTTAATCAATCTAAAGTCGAGAAACAAAATGTAGGGTTTGGCAATCAGTGGCAATCATTTTCCTTACTTAAACCTGAAGTAGACACATCCACATCCGTTTAATAGCATATACAATTTGATGAGTAGGAGTATTTAACAAAATGAATTATTAATTAGGTTATTCCATAACTTTTTTTTGAAAAACTTATTCCATAACTTTTTTTGCCATTGGATTACACCTTACGGTGGAGACAAATTTTTCCATCCACATATATATAGTTGATTAATTTAGGAGGAGGACCAAGACCTCATTTCCTATCTTGACAAACTAGTGGTCGAGAAAAGATTTTTGTTTTCTTTTCTACAATATAGGACACGATTTTGGTCCTAATTTCTCAGATAGTCAAATACTGTTACGAGCTCCATCATCATCATTATATTGTTCCACCATTTTCCATCCCCTCCTCAAATGAGGAGAAAATCATATCATATCATGGTGTGGCAGCCACTTCGCGGTTGTCTGAATAATGATCTCCAAGGCCGTGTTTGATTGACTCAACTAGAACTAGGATTGGACTATTTAGCCAACTGGATACAGTGGGACTAAACACTTCTTAAGTGGCCTTATTAGACTAGTCAATATGAGAGGCCTAAATAAGCCTTCAACTGCCTCTGCCCATGTGCCCATCTCTTCGGATTGAGATCATCTCCGAATCTTAAGCCTTTAGAGCCAATGGATCAAAACATCCTGATCATTTAGTTTCATCTTGTGGCTAAGGAATTATAAAATTATCAGAGAGACGGGCTAATGATCCATTTTTAACACCGATATTGTTTCTAATTTGATAATTACCATCTATTCAATCCTTGAAATTTCATCACAAAATGTGTTGGTGTTAGTTGAGATATGATTATGATATTTAAATTATAATTCCGGTGTGGGACTCCACATAAACCATTTTAACTTGTAAAAAAATTTCACGCAGATCAAGGTAAAAGTTCAACGCCTTTTCACTCCTTCATCGACTTTTCTTTTCTTCTGAAACCGATCTTCCACCTCTTGCAGGTCTCCTTTTTCCAGAAATTCTGAAGAAAAAGAGCCTTGGTCGATCATCCATTGTCACTCATTTTCAATAACGAAAGGTCAGTCTTCCATTATTGTATTTGTTTTTTCGTTATGAAATTTTTGCAATTAGATAGTGGCTTGCCTCTGTAGAAATTCAACAAGTGAGTTGTTGATCTAAAATACTGGACCTTTTTTATTTTGTCGTTATTGCTCAAGTTTTCTAAATATTGGTTTAATTTTGTGATAAAATTTGATAGTGAATGATATAATGGATAAACCAAATGATGACGTAGAAGGTGCTTTGAAATTGAAACCTACAGAAAATATGAAGTTTGATACCGAACAAGCAGCATGTGATTCCTGCAACAAGTATGGTGGAATATAGGGTTTAGTATTCGAAGAGAAAGTGGCATCTCATTCTTTGTTTGTTTTCTATAATATTTTTTTTTGTCTCAATTTATGTTAGTTTCTTCGTTATTTGCTTATGTGAATGTCGCGTGCCTTACAACAAGAGAGAGAGGTGCGGTGGTGATGGAGGAAGGGGTTGGCTGCGACCCTGCATGGGAGGCAAATATGGTTTTAGGTTTTTTTTTTTTTTACTTATTATTTCAATCCGCAAGCCAGAAAAGCTTCAGTGTTCGTCAGCTCAAGAACACCACCGTAAATTCTAGTAAATTATGTTAATTTAATTTATCGGAATCGACGTTGAGGAAGGAATAGTAATATAAAATGTTGACGTGGCTTAACTCTAACCGTACAAATAGGAGAGGATGAAAGTATATGGGAAGTGAGAGGGCAGAGAAGCTAAGTTGATCTCCATTAGACATGATCTTGGTGGAGTTAGATGTTTAGGGTATCTGTAGCTTGTCGAATCAATGTGAAAGCTGAAACTTATAGCCTGTTCTATGCAATTATATTCTTGTTAGGACCTAATCCAATGGTTATGGATTCTATAGTCCTAATTTTTTTTTCTTTTAACAAACGATATTATATACTAAGAGGGTGGAAAAATGGATTAAACCTCACAATCGGCTTAATAATAATGATTCAAATTCATATTTGACGAAAATCGAATCTAAAATCTCTTATTTATAAATAATAAAATATAGTACTAAACTGTAATACTTAATAACTGTAATCTTAACTTTTAAGCAACAGAAGATGATGGGTTAGAAAAAAGTCTTTAGGTTCCTAATCACCGTAGGGCCATAGGGTCCCCAGGACTAATCAAGTTTTGACCCGTAGGGACTGTACTGTGCTTGTGTTGTAATGTCTAATCCAAGAGTATTGATAATAATGCAGCTAAGCTTCCTGCCTGACCTAATTAGCTGAGGCTAATAGGGGCAAGTGAATTTTAAAGGTTTACCATGTTAGGAATAATACTCCAATCAAAGAATTTTATGGGGCGAAAAATGCCCCGAGTTTTCTAAACAAAGAGGGATGTTTTTGAGAAGATGGATATGGATGATGCATGACTGTCGTGTATTAATGACTTGTGAATAAATTGTTTGTAAATTAAGGACCAGTTAACTAGCTAACTGGTTGTTACAAGTGAATAATTCAACAAAAGTAAAAGCAAAATAAAACCCTAGAGAATTTGAAACGGTATATTTTGGAGTAAAAGAGAGAGACTAGAAAAAAAGAAGAAGTGTCCTCTATATGAATCTAAAAGAATCAATTCTTCCAACGAAGCACCAGTGGTCTAGTGGTAGAATAGTACCCTGCCACGGTACAGACCCGGGTTCGATTCCCGGCTGGTGCAAATTGTTTTATAACTTTCCCTTTTTTATCATTTTAGTTTGATCGCTGTAATTTAATTCAAGTGTCAATTTAGTTCTTGTCGTTTCAGTTGTATCAGTTTTAATAGTTTAATAAACTTATCAAACCTTGTAATTTAAGCCCCAAGTCTCATATGTTCATTTTAACTCCGTACATAGCGTTGCACTTTATGTCATTTTTTTTACGGAGTCATCACTCGTTATTCATGCAAACAGTTATTTCAATCCTTATAAAATGGGTCAATCTCCTCTTATCCTTTTAATACCTTATGTTTACATGTTCATATTGATTGAACTGACATGAAAAACATGTTTGAGGCTTACACTCAAATTATAATGTTTGATATACTACAACATTAAATTTGACATAATTAGTCAACGATGGTTGGTTCAATTGGTAAGAGCATGCTTGTGGTTAACCCCCGAATCCAAGTTCGATCTCTGCTACTAGCAATTTTTCTTGGAGTGCGATCTGTACATTCCTACATAAATCCATACAAGTGGCAGCTAGTAGCTAGGTGTCATGTGTAAGTCCATTCAACTTGAGATTGTAGATATGCCTTGATGCTGATTATGAAAATAACTAATCTCTACCTAAACTTTTTGTTACAAAAAAAAAAAAAAAAAGAAACTAAAAAGAAACTTAGAATAAACTACATGAACAAAGTGAAATTGTCCTTTTGGTTGTTTAAAACACAATTTTTTGGTGGAACCTTTCTCAACAAAATTTCACCTACTTCATTGAAAAAGAGAGAAATCGATTAAGTTTTTAACCATGGTTTAGTTTCCCACGCGTTTTCAAACGCCAATATCGACCCAGGTTACCCAGCAGCAGCAACCCCGCTGACGTGTACGGCCAGGATTCAGGGACGCTCAAAAACGCGTCGAACCAAAATTCGCGCGCCTTTATGCCCATCAACTTCGTGCCATCAAGTTCGCCGACACGTGTCGGTCCCGAACCCAACTGCCGGTCACTTTTCCCTTCCCTAGCCGGCTGGAAGGACCACCTTAGCAAGACGGCAATCCCCCTGTCCACGTCA